TTTAGGGCAGTGCCTGTGGCTCAGGGTTGGGCTCTGGCCATATATGCCAAGGGTGGCAGGTTTGAGCCCAGCCCTGGCCAAAAACTGCAACAACAACAATAAAATTAATAAATTAATTTTTTAAAAAAGCCCAGGACTTTGGGAGGCTGGTTTGGGTGGAGGAGCACCTTAGCGCAGATGTATGAGGCTGCAGTGAGCTATGATGAAGCCACTGCACTTCAGTCTGGGTGACATAGTGAGACCTTAGCTCAAAAAAAAAGAAAAGAAAAGATAAAAAGAACTACTGTCAAATTTAGAAGTTAAACTGCTTCAGGGGAATTGGCACTTAAATTTGCTTATGGGCTTTTCTTGTTTTAGGAACAAAATAAGTTAACCTTCAATTCTGTTTAAAATGGAGATGATTGGGTTTGTTTTTATTAGACTTCAGGGCCTTGAGATGGGGATTGGGAAACAAAAACAAAATACTTAGCACATTTAAGAAACAGACTATTCTGTTTCTTAACAAAAATAAATAAATAAATAAAAACAAAAAGAAACAGACAATTCCCTGCTCTCAGAATTCCACATTACATGAGAACTTGATAAAAATTTTTTCCCTGGATGAAGAGAGGAAATAAAAGGTAAGCAGATCTTACACCAGTAGAAGAGGTGGGTTTTGATGGTTTGATCTGCAGGCCAATTTTTGTTTTTGGTATTTTCCTTTTTTGGTTTGGCTGCCAATAATTTCCTGCCATCATATTCCCCTTTTACTAAAGGCAGTCAGTTTAATGCCCCAATGGTCATCTTAGAAACACATCTTCCCTGTTTGTTGTGGGGTCTCTTTCTGCTCTGGCTGATGCTGTTTAATCTCTCCATTTTCTCTCCCATGCACATCCTGTAACAAATTGAGACTATTGAGTTCTATGGTGACAGGAAGAAGCTGCCATCCAATAAAGCACATAGTTGATGTGCTATTACTCAGTAATTATCTTCAGATAAGTGAATAGGTGGTCTGTTGTAGAGGCCCTGTCACATGTCTCCCAGAGTGGGCCGGAACTCGGAGAGAGGAGGGTCTTTTGGGAAAGTAGTGCCCTGCCCTTCTGTACTGTGTTGATAACCTCCAGTCTGGCTCACAGAGAGGATTTCTGGGCAGAACGGACATATGCAACAGTTGTGTTAAATTACTCATGCATTTGAAACTGTGTGATCATTTTAGTCAGCAAAATTGAGAAAGACCCCAAGGAAAAGGGTTTTATTTTCCTTTTTTCCTTCTGAAAGGGTCATTGTACATACCCATGGGTAATATCACTGTGAACTTGCCATCTGCCCTGAGCCCTTGTCTTTGCGTTTTTGAACTCAGACATCTGTTGGGATTCCCCCAGCTGGGAACAAAGACGTGTCTGGAAGGCAGCCATGGGAGGAGATTCTTCACCCTGCACCTCTGTGCTCCTTGTCCATGTGTTCACCATACTTTGTCCATACCAGTGGGCACTGGCCCCACCAAGGCCCAGGGCTTTTCCTTCCTGGTATCTAGACATCTCAGTGGATGTCAGGATCTTTGAATTGATTGTTGAGGAGACTTACTTTTGCTAATAAATGAGGTCAATGGAAGAGATGTGCTAATTGGATTGCTGGCTGTCTTTTCTCTCCCAGGAGATACTCTCCGGTGTGGTGGTCATATCTAGTAAGGATTCCATTCAGCACCAGGGGGTGTCTTTGACAATGGAAGGAACTGTAAACCTCCAGCTCAGTGCCAAAAGTGTGGGTGTGTTTGAAGCTTTTTATAATTCTGTTAAGGTAAGAGTGCTTCAGTTGGAAGGTTTTAGTTCAAAATGTTTGTGGTAGTTTTTACTTATTGTTCCCCCTTCCTGATGGTAGGGAAGGACATCTGTCTTTATTGTTATCTGTTATTTTGGAGGGATGGTGATAGTTGTGATACTTACAGATCAACCTGACAGAATGCAGGTATTTTGTTTCTAAGTACATCCTGTTGCAAGTCTGCTTGTATTTATTCCTGTTTGATAAATCAGGATTAGGAGAACTGTAATTATATTAATTTCAGCCATTCAAAAGACCAAAGCTTTACTTAGAAGTGGTGCCTGTGGCTTATATATTTATCTTCTCAAATAAAAACTTTATTAGCTATGCATATTGCTGCTTTTGGATTTGACATTGAACTAAGATACAGATGAGAGCAAGAAACTATTTTCTTTTTGTCATTTAGAATAAAGGTTTGTCTTCTAGAGTGACTTTTTCTTTTTTTTTTGAGACAGAGTCTCAAGCTTTCACCCTGGGTAGAGTGCCATAGTAACATCATAGCTCACAGCAACCTCCCACTCTTGGGCTCAAATGGTCCTCTTGCCTCAGTTTTTTGTATTTTTATTAGACAGGGTCTTGCTCTGGTTCAGAGCTGGTCTGAAACTCATGAGCTCAAGCAGTCCACCTGCCTCAGCCTCCCAGAGTACTAGGATTACAGGCATGAGCCACTGTGCCTGGCCGAGTGACTTTTTCTATACTTAGAGTTTTCTTTTCCTGAAGAACATATTAACTCTTTAAGTTGTGAGGGGGAAAAAGAGAGAAGAAAGGTACTTTAACAGTATTCACATTTGGAACATGATTTTATTTTAATACATTTTTACTT